GTAAAAAACCCACCTGCAAATGCAGCTGACTTAAGGGATGTGAATTTGATCCCTGGTTCAGGAAGATCCCCTGAAGGAGGGCATGGCAACCCACTCCAGTATCCTTGCCTGGAGAATCCCATGGACACAGGAGCCTGGCGGGCTACAGTCCATAGTGTCGCAAAGAGTCAGACACAACTGACGTGATTTCACACACATACTGGAAACTAACATCCCCTACATACATCTTAGTGCAGCCAAAAAAAAAGGGGGAGCCGCAGCTCTTTCCTGGTTGGAACCATGGAGGATTCAAAAGAGAAAAAAAAGAAGGTTTTTGCTTGGCCAGAAACACTTAAGAGTAAATAAAAGATTTTCGCAGAGCTTAAGATCAAGAGCTTGAGAAAGAAGTTTGCCCTAAAGATGCTTTGAAAAGCAAAGAGGAAGCTTATCTATGAAAAAGTTCTAGAAAAAGCTAAGCATTATCACAGGAATACAGGCAGATGATATCACAGGAATATAGGTAATAGACACATCCACCACCTGCAAAAATTTCGAATGGCTAGGATGGCAAGAAAAGCCAGCAATATCTATGTACCCTCTGAACCCAAATTGGTGCTTATCATCAGGATCAGAAGTATCAATGGCGTTTGCCGAAAGGTTGGATGGTTGTTGCAGCTTGTTCGCCTCTGTCATATCTTCATTGGCACCTGTGTGAAGGTCAACAGCACTTCAATTAACATGCTGAGAACTGTGGAAGCATACAGTGCATGAGAATACCCAGACTTGTGGTCAGTAAATGAATTGATCTACAAGTGTGCTTATGGCAAAACCAACAAGAAGTGAATTGACCTGACAGATAACTCATTGATTGCTCAATCTCTTGGCAAAGATGGCATCATCTGCATGGAGGATATGATTCATGAGGTCTGTACTTTTGGAAAATGTTTCAAAGATGCCTGCAACTTCCTGCGGCACTTCAAGTTGTCTTCTCCACAAGGTGGAATGAAGGAAAAGACCACCCATTTTGTAGAAGGTAGAGATGCTGGCAACTGGAAGACCAGATCAACAGGCTTATTAGAAGGATGAATTAAGGTATCTACTGTGATTATTTTTGTAATCTGGTCAGTTATTAAACAGAGACTGCTTTCAAATTTAAAAATTTAAATGATAAAAATAGGCAAAGGATCTGAGTGGACATTTCTCAAAAAAACTGGCTAATAATCTCACAAAGACCTGCTCAGTGTCATTATCTATCAAGGAAACAAAAATAAAAACCACTGTGAGGTGGCACTTCTCATCCTGTTGAAAAGTAGATAATCCAGGTGTTGTAGAGGATGTGGAGAAAATAGAGCCTGTGTCCATCGTAGGTGGTGGTGTAAAGTGTTGTGTCTGCTGTGGAAAACACTCTGGAGTTCCTCAAAAAGTTAAGCGTGGAGTTTCAATAAGTTCAGTTCAGTGCTCAGTCGTGTCTGACTCTCTGTGATCCCATGGACTGTAGCACGCCAAGCCTCCCTGTCCATCACCAACTCCCGGAGTTCACCAAAGCTCATGTCCATCGAGTCGGTGATGCCATCCAACCATCTCCTCCTCTGTCATCCCCTTCTCCTCCTGCCCTCAATCTTTCCCAGCATCAGGGTCTTTTCCA